AAAAAAAAAAAAAAAATTCTGACAAAGTTGATCAACCAAAGTTGATTTTGGTTTCCGAAAAGGTTCATGAACCAGCAGCACAGTCATAGTGAGAGACGTGTGCTTGGACAGAGAGAAGCTGGGAGTTTTCCTAAAGGCAGAGGGAGGGAGAGGGAAACAAAGTGTCTCCCGTATATTCTGACACATCTGTTCATGTCAGAGCAGGACGTCCACACCTTTAAAGGTCTCTCTTCAAAAGTCTGTTTAACATCCGATCAAGCACGCAAATGTGCAAGCAGAAATATGGATCCCAATGAGGTCAAAAGGAGACAGGGATTACAAATGACAGGGGCCAAGGTGGAGTCCTCCAAGCCTCTTTAACTCTCAAAAAGCCTTCAAACTCCAACAGATCTAGAGTAACACACAAATGCCACAACATAGAGAACAGAGCAAGAACCCTCCTGAACTTGCACTGTGCCAACTATGACCAACGTGTAGCCAATCTTGTGTCATCCCCACCCCACTCACATCCCTGCCTCTGGATTATTATGAAGTACATTCTACACATGACATCATTCATCTGTACATATTCCAGGATACTTCACTAGAACATAAGGACTTTATTTTCTAACAAAGCTACAGGGAAAACGGTGATGTGAATGCAGCATTTTGCAAGTAAACAGATAGCAAAGCTACACTACAGTGACCTGTTGCAGATTCCTTGTTTAAAAGGAATATGGGATTTCTTCCCAATTCCTTAGCTGATCCTCAGTTCATGCCTTGGAGCACAGAACTGATTACAAGGTAATTTTAGCCCAGTAAACCCTTGTCATTCCTGATTCCATATCTTTCCCTGTACAATTTCCCCTGCTGGGAATATTCTCTTCCCTTCCGCCTCCCACATCTGACTGGTCCAGCTTCAAACTCCTCCCACACGAAACAAATTCACCTTTCCCACACCTCATTTCTGAAGGAAGGATCACGCGTTGCCCAGTCAGGCTTCTGGGTGGTACAAATGGTTGATACTCCAACCGAAAGGTTGGTGGTTTGAGTCCAACCAGAGGCGACTTGGAAGAAAGGCCTGAATCTGCTGTAAAGATTACAGCCCAGAAAACTCCACGGAGCTCAGTACTGCTTTGTAACACAACAGGCTTCCATGAGTCGGAATCAACTCAATAATAATTTTTTGTTTTGTTTCTTCCTCAATCCAGAAAACACTATTCAGTCTAATGTCTGCCTGCTTTGCCTCCCAGCTGCTTAGAACGCTTCCTGCTAAATGCTGTGTAACTGAACCAACTCCAGTCAAACTTCACAGAACTTTTGTGTCCAAGTCAGGCTAAAAGGATGACTTTGTTCTGAACTGAGAGGCAGGACCTCAACACTATGCTGTCTGCCACTGACTGTGTGGTATAAAAATAGACCAATGTAAATTTATCATCATTAACAAGAAACTTTGGAGAAGCCGCCTCTCTAGTTTCTTTATCAGTAAAAGGAGGATAAACAGCTGGAGCCTGAAAGGAAGTGAGACAATTCTGGCCCTGGTCTAGGCTCTGCCCCTAACTCACCCCGCGGCTCCGCTCTCTTACGGCTGGAGTTTCTCCAAGTGAAGAGAAGCAGCCACACTATGTTGTTTTCATCTATACCTGCTTAAACAAAAAAAAAAACTCACTGACATTGAGTCGGATCTGACTTGTAGTGACCCCCTTCTTCGGTTTCTGAGGTGGTATCACTACGGAAGTAGATCACCCAATTTTCCTTCCGAGGAGTGGCTGGTGGGTTTGAACCGCCAGCCTTCTGGTTAGCAGTCAGATGCCTTGGGCACTACACCACCAGAGTTCCAATACCTGCTTTAGTATTCTCATAAACTATTCTATTCTAAAATTCTTGGATTCTGATTAACTCACCACCACCATCACAGAGTTGCAGGAAAAACTAAGGATTGTAACAATTACAGTTAATTTGTACTGAACACTTAAGAGGCACCAGGCATTGTGCTAACCGCTTAAACTCATCTCACCCTCAAAACAATACCATTTCGTTTGTTGTTGCCATTTCAGGTGAGGAAGATGAGACACAAGAAGGTTGTCTTTTGCCCCAAATCACAAAGTTAAAATGAGCCCAACTAGGGAGTAAAACTCCACAGGCTGTTTCCATTGCAGAGCTCGAGCTCCTAACCACTTCTTTAGCTTACCTGACACAAAGCTCTGGAGACGGAACGTGAAAAACCCACCAGGATTCTGGGTATGTGAGCCTGAAAACCCCATCTACACCCAGGTAGGGATCCAACAGAAAGTGGTCACAAAGATCTACCATAAAAAACACATTCTTCTACATCATCAGAGCTCCCGTGCCAAACTTTAAGGATTCCGCAAACTAGGCAGTGTACCAAATGTCAGTGATCAACACGGTGGCACTGAAGAAGAGGAAGGCATAGAGAGGTCCATGGGAGGTTCAAAAAAAAAAAGGCAAACCCTTTTGCACATACAGTACTGCATTGTCAGTGAAGGCAACATGGGTACACGGGTGGACAGATGGGTGGACAGGCTGAATTACTAGGTATGTCTATGAAGAGGGGAGTGTACTGAAGACCATGTATAGTGTTGGCAGGCAATGGTCCTGTAAGTGTATTGGTGTGATCTGAATTCCCAGGTGTATAGTAGAGCTGACAAGGGACAAGGTTGTAGTCACTTCTTGGTCACAGCCAGCTACCCAGAGGGACCGAGTAGTTGAACCTGTGGGCTCGGGACCATAGTCACAGGGGACATCAAGCTCAACTGGCATAACATACTACACAAAACATTGTTCCACCTCCTACTTTGGCAAGTAGTGACTGGGATCTTAAAAGCTTACAAGCAGCCATCAAGATGCAACGATGGGTCTCTCCTCATCCAGAGCAAAGAAGAATGAAGAAAACCAAAGATTCATGGAAACAATTAGTCCTAGCAACAGGTACACCATGCGATCTGCAGCCTATATGACTATGA